AAACGTAATTTTCCCCATTTATGTGTATCTTTATGTTAGTATTTAATCACCATTTCTAACGTAATTTCCCCCATTTATGTGTATCTTTATGTTAGTATTTAATCTCCATTTATAGATAATACTTAGACAACTGAATGCGTTTTCTATTGTAACTTTGACAGATACATTTCACATGTGATTTGCGAGTTGGTGTATGTATAATTAAAACGTACAAGCTTGAACTGAATACATTATCATAATTCCCAATAATTTTAACAATACCATAAAGCTTAAACATGCCCCCTCCTCCTTCCACACACATGCGTACAAACAAATAATCTCACCCGGTCCTGCAAAGTTACTATTTTACGGGCCATTTATTTTCCAAACCCACAGAATTTAGTTACTCATTTTCAACTCCCATACAAAATCTAATTATTCATGCACAGCCCACTAGAACCTACAGTTCCCAACCATTCATAACGAATTGAAGAAAGTGTCCTTGGTTCTAATGCTCTATATGGCTCATACATACCAATGTCAGAGAAGGTGTCAAGTACGGAAAAGTTTACATTAAATAGACTTATAGTATAAAAGTAGGCGGCCAGCGTGGGTTCTCTTTATAGACCTAGAAGCATAGTTCATCTAACGCATGATAAACGTAGCCGTATCGGATTTAATTACATAAAAACATTGCGACATTAAGCTTAAAATAATTTTTAATCTATGTGCTTTCCATGTCGTATGCATATACAATACCTTGTTAAGTTAGCATGTTTTTATAATACATGTTTCTCTTCACAACCAATTGGCACTTTAAGAGAGATGTTGGCACGTGCTTACAACGCTCAGATAACTTAATAAACCTGTTTTAATCTTTAGACCTCACAAGTATTTACTATTATGCGAAGAGCAATTTCTTACTTAGTTAAACACGAAGGTCCTTAACTCAAGCTACTTAGGAGTTGAAATATAACACTTATGACCTTTGATCGCAGATTTCAATAATACCAATAAGACAAGCAACAGTCTAGAAAATTTCCATTTTCCATTAATATGTTATGTAGAAAATACAAAAGATCACCGATGAACACCTTACCCAGGAGACAATCCACCTCTTTCCACACACACAATCTATTTTTGCAAGTTATATTTTTAATGTTGTGATTTGTTTGTTAGCTAGAGGTAACTGCGAGTCGTAAATGGAAAAGCTAAGTAGGCCGCTTCTATTGTTTGTTTTTGAATTTCGCGCAAAGCTACACGAAGGCTATCTGCGCTAGCCGTCCCTAATTTAG